TTTCTCATTTTCTCAACTTCTTTTGATTGTTTATTGTTGTTATTTCCTATTTTCCCTATTTCTACTGTTCCCAGAGGTCACCCTAAATTTAACATTCACATTTATGTTAGCATACTATAACATTTCATATCTTCATACTATGCTCAAACAGTACAAGGACCAAAGAATCCTTCAACTCTGATGACCAGTATCTTTGCCCAGTGTTTCTTCTTGCATGCCAGTCCTTTATTCTGTGATCTCTCTTTAGTGTGGACCTGCTGGTAAACTCCCTTAGCTCTTGTTGGACCGAAAATGTCTTTATTTCACCCACATTCACAAGAGAGAGTTTTCTTTTCTTTTTTTTGAGTTGGAGCCTCACTCAGTCACCCAGACTGGAGTGCAGTGGCCGCTCCCGGCCACTGCAGCCTCAACCTGCTGGGCTCTGGCGATCCTTCCACCTCAGCCTTCCAAGTAGCTGGAACTATAGGTGTGCACTACCATGCCCGGCTAATTTTTTGATTTTATTGTAGAGATGAGGTCTCACCAAGTTGCCCGGGCGGGTCTCGAACCCATGGGCTTAGGCAATCCACTCACCTCAGCCTCCCAAAGTGCGGGATTACAGGCTGAGCCACCGAGCCCAGCTAAGAGAGAGTTTTCAAGAGAAAATAATTCAAGCTTAAGGCTTTGTTTGTTTCAGTGTTTTAAAGATATTTTTCTAAAATCTTCTAACTTCTATTGTTGCTACTGAGATGTCAGTTGTCAGGCTAATTGTCTTTCCTTTATGATAAGCTGTTTTTTTCTCTCTGGCTGTTTTCAGTCTTCTCTCTCTGTTGTTCTGTACATTACTATAATACATGTAGGAACTGATATCTATCACGTATGTGGTTTAGGAGTTATTGAGTTCTTGAATTTGGTCATTGATATAGTTCATCCATATTGGAAAGTTTCCATTTGTTTATTTATTTACTTATTCTGTTGCCCAGGCTAGAGTGCAGTGGCATGATCATGGCTTACTTCAGCTTCAACCTCTTGGGCTCGGGCAATCCTTCTACCTCAGCCTTCTGAATAGCTAGGACTACAGGTGTACACCACCACACCTGGTCAATTTTTAAATTTTTTTTGTAGAGATGAGGTTTCACCATGTTACTTAGGCTGGTCTCAGACTTCTGTGCTCAACTGATCCTCTTGTTTCAGTCTCCCAAAGTGCTGGGATTACAGGTATGAACCATTGTACCCAGCCTCAGCTTTTTAATTTTTCTTCAAATGTTAAGTTTCCTACATTTTGTCTTTTTTTCTTGCAGAACTCTGATTAAATGTATACTGGACCCTTTTATGTTTGTCTCTCTTAACATCTCTTTTATATTTTCCATCTGTTTGTTGCTTTGTGCTGTATTCCATGTTAGAACTTCACATTTATTTCTTAATTCCCCAATTCTTTCTGTGCCTGTCTTATCAGCTACTTAATACATGTATTAAGTTTCTTGTTTTAATTATAATATGTGTCAGTTCTGGGAATTCTATCTGATTCCTTGTTAAATCTGTTTAATCATTCTGACCATCTCTTGTTTCTTTGTCATACTTCTAATAACCTGCCCCTACTTTGTAGACCCAATATATTTTGAATGAATTTTAAAAAACATACTTACTTTACATTCTGTATCTCACAATTTTAATACATATAACCTCTGTTATAGCATTTGTTTCTACTGACTCTGTTTATCTTGGCTTTTCCTTTCTGTTTTGTGATTTTTCTGACTGAGCGCTTATGTTCCTTGAAACTTTATTTATAGGAATTCTTAAAGCTTATGTGAAGATGTGTTCTTCCAGAGACTATTTGTGTTTTCATGTGTCAGATCCCGTGGGCATTTCAACTTGGAAACATTAAGTCTTGACCTGGTTTTTGGAGACAGTCAGGTGGTGTACATTCTAACCCCAAATTCACATGTGAGCTGGTTTTTAGTTAGAAATCCTCGTCAGAGACCACCCTTCCCTTCACCAAAAGCCAAAACAAAAACAGCCAACTTTCTTTACTATCTCCCCTGAGGATGGGGGAGAGTCAGTTTAATCACATCGGTGCCACTTTCTGTGGGTTCCTTTTATGCATGTGATCTTTGCTCCAAACTCCTCCCTTACTTGTACCCTAAGCTTTATCTCCTGTCCCCAAGCATGGTCTGTTAGGATGAAGGGCTGGGCCTCCAAGAACTGGCACATGTCCTAGGGAAGCTGCCACCATCAGTACTTGTTTATTTCTTTGGCTTTGGGCTTACTGTTTTTGACCTCTGATGCCTGCTTTTATTTTTTGCCAACATAGCAATGCTTTAAATATTTTTCTTAACCTTCGGGAATATTGTATGATATTTTTTCTATGATCATTTTAAAGGATGTATTATCTTCCCTATTGCTAGAAAATGAAACTTGAAATTACTTTTGAAAGAAGGGAAGACATGGTAGAAAAGTTGGAGCAGAATACAGAACTGAGAGTTTTTAACTTCTTTTTTCCAAATCTCGAAGTACTTAAGTTGATAGGTTGGGGGAAGGAATAAAAAGGGAAACAGAGGCTGAAGATGAAGAAAAAAAGAAGAAGAAGTAATGGAGGAAAGTTTCAAGGGAGAACAGGAGGTCAGAGGCGATTATGGAGGAAAAGATTAGCTTTGAACAGAGCAGTGAGTGGTGGGTTCAATAATGGCCCCAAAAGATGTCCATGCCCTAAACCCTGGAATCTTTGCAGATGCGACTAAGTTAAGACTTTTCAGAAAGGGAGATTATCGTATATTCTCTAGGTGAACCCTAAATGTAACCACAATTGTACATATAAGAGGGAGACTTAAAAAAAATTTTCTTTTGAGTCGAGATCTCACTCTGCTGCCCAGACTGAAGTGCAGTAGCATGATCACGGCGACCACAGCTCAAAGCAGCCTCAACGTCCTGGGCTCAGGCACTCCTTTCACCTCAGCACCCCGAGTACCTGGGACTACAGGCGAGCACGACCACATCTGCCTAGTTTTTGGTAGTTGTTGTCAAAAAGCAAAAACAGTCAACTTTCCTCAAACTCCTGTTCTCAAGTAATCCACCCACCTCCGTCTCCCAAAGTGGCGGGACAACAGGCATGAGCCCCCATGCCCAGCCATAAGCGGGAGATTTGACTACAGGAGAGGGGAAGGCGATTTGATGACAGAAACAGACTTGAAGTGATGCGCTTTGAAGATGGAGGAAGAGGGCTACGAGCCAAGGAATGCAGGCAGCTCCTAGAAGCTGAAAAAAAGGCAGGAAAGCGGATCTTTCCTCAGAGCTTTCAGATGGAAAAAGTCCTGCTGACAGCTTGACTTTTGCTCAGTGAAACTGATTTCAGACTTCCACAACCATACCAGAATAAATTTGTGCTGTTTTGAGTCCCTCTGTTTGTGATAATTTGTAGCAGCAATGAGAAAAGAATACAGAGGGACACCTTCTCTGGAAGCTTCGAAATGGGCCTTTTCCCCAGCATATTCCTCTGTAAAGCCAAATTTGGGTATGGCAACGTTTAAATTATAACTACCTCGTATGTATGAAAACATTCTAAGTATTATCAACTTAAACATAAATAAATTGAGATAGGAAAAAACCTTCCTTTCACTCAAATGTGTCTGTGGGAAATCCCAGTAATGCATGTAAAGCCAAGTGGTACAGAAAATCTAATTATGTTTAAGCAACAGAGTAGAAAAGGGTATTTAAACTGGCATGGTGACCTTGAAGGCAAGCTGTAGTCATTTCGCCGGCTGCTTTTACTAACGTTGTATGTGAAGTTGCAAAATATCTTGCACCAAAATACAGTCATGTGTTGCACCAGAATACAGCACAGAGTTACATAACTTGCTCACATGGTTAGTGAGTGGCTGGACTCTTGGCTCCATAAATGTCTGTTGAAAAACTATGCGGTGCCTCTTAGGCACACTGAGCGAACATTTGCGCAACCATGTGAGAAGGCACAAAGCCTCAGACAGTCCAGGACCGATCTCTGATCAGGAAAAATCATCTGGATCTGTTGTAGACTTCCAAGTTTTCCCGTTCGGCTCCCTAGTAAACAGCGCCCATTCCACTCCAATGCTTGATCTCACCTTTGCAGGGCAGTGATGCGCCCAGGTACCTGGCTCAGCATCTGACCCTGAGGCATCACCTTCGTTTATCTATCTGGCTGTCGAGGCCTCTCTACACTCCCACTAAAGTTGCCTCAGTGTCTGGGTTGGCTGTTCTTTTCTGACGTGTAAGTCTTTAATCCATCTTGAGTTAATTTATGTCTATGGGGAGAGATGGGAGTGGTTTCATTTTGCTGCATGTAGTTATCTGATTTTCCCAGCACCATCTGTTGAATAGTGTGTCCTTTCCCCAGTCTGTTTTTGTCTGCTTTGTCAGAGATCAGTTGGCTGTAGGTATTTGAGTTTATTCCTGGATTCTCTATTCTGTTCTATTGGTCCCTGTGTCTGTTCTTGTACCTGCACCATGCTGTTTTGGTTACTACAGCCTTGTAGTATAAATAATTTGAAGTCAGGTAATGTGATGACTCCAGCTGGGTTGGCTATTCTTTGTTGGTGGTGCTGAATGAGACTCCACAATTATGGAACTCAAGAATTTGTTTTTTGAGTCGGAGTCTTGCTCTGTTGCCCAGACTGGAGTGCAGTGGCATGATTATGGCTTACCCCAGCCTCCACCTGCTGGGCTCAGTTTATTGTTCTGCCTCAGTCTCCCTAGTAGCTGGAACTATAGGCATGCTCTACCACACCCAGCTAATTATTTAGATTTTTTTTTTATAGAGATGAGGTCTCACTCTGTTATGCTGCCCAGGTTGGTCTCGAACTCCTTGGACTCAAGCAATCCTCTCGCCTCAGACTCCTACAAGTGCTGGGATGATAGGCCACCAAAACCCAAGAATTTGTTAACAAAACAACAACAACAAGTATTCCAGAAAACAAATGTAACTGGGAAATTTAACAAGAAACAAGTTCAGAGTCATGAAATTATTAATGACATAAATAGGTGCTACTTACGCAGGTGGGCTATCGCCACAATACTTTCCAATTCTTTTAGCATCGTTGACTTCCCCGCCATTAAACACAGCCACAAAATCATATCGGCAGTAGTTATCTCGCTCTACATCAAACTTCTCGAACTTTAATTCTATAAGCTTTAGAGAAAGCACAATATCAGAAGTGTCAAAAAAGCATCGCTGAATAACCACAAATGGAATTTTTCCTCCCTCGAGATTTGTAGACTACTCATGATTTTCCTTTGTAAAAAACAATATTCAATCTGTTTACTTTTTTTTTTCTTTCCAAGTTGGAGTCTCACTCTGTCAACCAGGCTGGAGTGCAGTGACATGATCACGACTCACTGCAGCTTCGGTGGAGACTTAAGTGATCGTCCAGTCTCAATTTTCTGAGTGGCTGGGACTACAGGTATGTGCCACCATGCCCTGCTAATTTTTTTTATTTTTTGTAGAGATGAGGTCTTGCTAGGCTGCCCAGGTTGGTCTCGAACTCCTGGGCTCAAGCAAACCTCCTGCCTTGATCTCCCAAAGTGCTGGGAATACAGGCGTGAGGCACAGTACCTGGTCTGTTTAAATATTTTTCTTGTTGCATATTTCTTATTAGTTAATAAAATTGTGGTATTCTTTTGATTTACTTTTTAGTTATTCCAAAAGATCAGCTGAAACTCAAATCAACCCTAGCCAAGATCTTTTTTTTTTTTTTTTTTGAGTCGGAGTCTCATTCTGTCACCCAGACTGGAGTGCAGTGGCCGCTCCCAGCCACCGCAGCCTCGACCTGCGGGGCTCCAGCGATCCTTCCACCTCAGCCTTCCGAGTAGCCGGAACTACAGGCATGCGCTACCACGCCCGGATGATTTTTTGATTTATTGTAGAGATGAGGTCTCGCTGCCCAGGCGGGTCTCGAACCCGCGAGCTCAGGCGATCCACTCACCTCAGCCTCCCAAAGGCACGGGATTACAGGCTGAGCCAGTGAGCCCGGCTCCTAGCCAAGATCTTAAACTTAGGAGCTCTGTTTACTTACAGCTGCAAAAGTATGGAAGCACTACAGAAGTCTAGCAATCCACATTAAGACTGTCATTGGTTCTAGAAATTTACTGAACAGTATGGCAACCATTGTTAATAGAAATGCATAATATACTTAAATTGCTAAGAGTAAATCTTAAATTTTTTCACCAAACACACACACACACACACACACACACACACACACACACACACACACACACATACATACACATGGATAACTATGAGATACTAATTAGCTTGATTGTTCTCATCATTTCACAATGTACATAAATATATCAAAACATCATGCTGTTCACCATAAATGTATACAATTTTTATGTGTTAACCACACCACAATAAAGCTAGGGAAAAAAGAAAAGAAGACTGTAATGGATAAACTGGTTGGGTACTGAAATGGAAAAAGTGATTATATACCAATTTCATTCTTCTCTAAATGAAAACTAATAATTATCCAAGATGTTCCCCATAATAGTATATATTGGGGCGGTGGGGGTAGTGGCGGTGGTGGTGATGTGTATTTGTATGTGTGTGATAAGTGGATAGGCTTGCTTCCCTCTTGAGAGCATTCTGACATTCCTAACACAAGTAAAGGAGTCAAATTTTTAGGGCCAGAGATTTAGGGAAGTGGAAATTGCGGTGTCTTCTTGAAGTATGTTTGAAATGTGAACATGCTGAGCACAGCCTACTTAGGACGTGGCTGATTTTTATAGAGATTGCATAGAAGTATTGACAAAGTCAGTGCTAAGTACTTCTTAACTTTTTGCACTATTATCAATAATAGTGTCCTAAATTATTCAAGCAAATAGAAAATTTTGATTCAATAGGTGATCAAGCAATCCCCTTACAAGCAGATTTTTTGAAGACCACCTCCAATGTGTGAATGAAAGAAAAGCTCGCTGGGTTTATTAATACCCATGACAGCTGGTACCCATTCTTGCTGGGCAGCAGGAGGGCAGGAACCTTCCCTGCTTCTTCAGGGAAGGTAATGGGCATTAATTCCTAGTAGCTAAAGAAGACTCACACACAGTCTTCTCAGTGAGGATGATAATAGCAACAGCATCACAGATGGACACAAAGGTACATTTCCACTTTGAACATAATTGCCACACATTTATGTATTAACCTACCTTTAAAAAAGATGCTTATTCACACTTAACACTACTTTAAATGGCATTAAAATATTTCCTCTTTGGGTCCAGTGGCTTCTCACTATTTACTAATGCAATGCTTTCCAGGTTATTAAAAAATTGGCTAAACTGTCTCTACTTAGAAATTAGTCACATAAGAACTTTTGGAGAGGAGATTAATAACTACATTTATAAATAACAGGATAAAGGAAAACGCTGTGGCAAAAAGGAGTCAATTCTTTAATGGAAGAAAATTCCCATAAACTTGCATAGAAATTATTGAGGACTTAATTTTCCTGTTATCTTTTTTTCCTTTGGATGGAGCTGTTTATTTCAAACACTATGATGATTAAAAATTCCACTGGCTGAAACCAAAAATCACATCAGTAAAACAAAACTCAACTTAAAACTTAAAAAATCAAAGAGAAGAAAAATAGAAAAGAGCTGCTGAATTGTAATCTGCAAGTATAACTAAGTTGAAATTATTTGGTCAAATATATTTACAAATGCCACAGAGAGAAAATAACTAATACAATTCCAGGAACTACATAATGATTTAAATATTTCAGAAATTTTTAAAATTTTATGTTGAATTATAATATGTTCAATAGAGTTACAGAATCTTCCATTATTAAATAAATAATTGTATTTTTCTTCTTAAAAATAAAACTAAGTACTGGAATTATGTTCAAAGTGTATATGTATGTATGTGTATGAGTATGTATGTTCAAATCACTAACTTGGCAGATTGGCCTAAATAATTTTCCATTAATAAAATAAATATAAGATAAATAGTATTTGTGCAAGCTATATGAAAATCAATTTAGAAAGTTTTTCTTTAAAAAAAAAAGTATCATAATGCTCATCTCATAGTATTTGGATTAAAGTCTTTGATGTCTGTAATAATAATAATTTTTATAAAGTTAATTTACAAAGTGGAAGGGCTCAAGCGATCCTTCCACTTCAGCCTCCCTAGTAGCTGGGACTATAGGTACGTGCCACCATGCCTGGCTAATTTTTTAGTTTTTTTTGTAGAAATAAGATCTCGCTATGTTGTCCAAGCTGGTCTCGAACTTTTGTGCTTAAGCAATCCTCCCATCTTAGCCTCCCAAAGTGCTGGGATTACAGGTATGAGCCATTGCAACCAGCATATTTTATTTTAAACAACAACCAAGAATATCCTAAAGCAGACCAGTTTTTACATCAGACACCTTGCTCTTTGAAGAGATGATATGACTTGCTTTTACTGCCTTTGTGGAAGTGAAGCATCTACTCATGTGGATTTGGTGACTAGGATGACTATTATGTGAGCAAATGGTAACCTGAAATGTACATGTACCTGGAGATGTTTGTCCTCCCAGTCAGTCACTGCTACTTATAACATCTGCTGCAGAGTTCAACAATCTTATGTGGGATTTGCTTGCCATTTGCATTTCTAAAACTGTTTTGAAAATTGTAATTATATAGTAGGAAATTAAGCACATGACTTTGCAATCCAAATAGTGCAAAAGGCAAATTTAATCCGGGCCTTGGTTAGAAGAAATACTGTGTCCAGCAGGCCCTTCCCATCTCTGTGTCCTTAGCTCTTGAATAAGCCCCACAAACAGAGGCTCCCGAGAGCTAGGCCCCTCACACAATCTAGGCAATTCACACAGTCATGCATTTTCAGGGAACCTCACCTGATTCTTTGGGGCTATAATATGCCACACACAAGTGACACCTGCAGGGTAATCCCGGTCTGGCCAGTTGGGGGTTTTAAAAGAGCCGGAAGGTCTTTCAAGACGTCCTCCACAATATTGATCCCCTGAAGTTATTGGACATGGAAAAGAAAACCACATGTTTACATCCTGATATAGGTTACAAAATAGAGCCATGTGGAAATCAGAAATCTGGAATATTCGGTGATAGTATAATAATTAAAGGCAATGGCAGAATTCTTAAATTTTCTCAAAAAGTTGCAAGTCTGCCCTCACCCTCTCACACCCACCCACCCACCCAAAATGAATGATCTCTATGTTACTTGGCATGTCATATCAACACAAGACAGAAAGGAGTGGAGTCAGAGCCAGAGCCTCTCTTCATTTTTTGGACAAGTGAAGAAAAACATTTGGACATGCACTCATTCAGAAAGCTGTAGGCTCAACAAATCACTTAGATTTTAAGAATCCTCAAGGCACTGGTAGTTATTAAATGCCCATGGCACTCAAAATATGAGTCAGTGGATAAAGACAGCTCTCATGACTAGAAAAATTTACATGCTCTATATATCTTTAATAATTTTAAAAATGATTTTTGTTGTAAAGGTAATACATGTATATACATTTTCAGCAATAGAAAAGCATAAGAGAGAAAATAAAAAATCACCCCAAATCCCATCTGAAATTAACGACAATATTTGATAAATACCATTTCAGACATCAGATATATACACTGATATGTACTGAGAGGTTGACAGAAATACTTTAAGAAAAGGTTGTTGGAATACAAAGTTCTAAATTTACTTGAATTTAACAAAAAGTAAATTGAAACTTTAATGGAATATTTGACAAAGAAAATAATCCTTGTTAAACCAAATCTCTACATTTAAGATAATGTATTATAAACATGGAGGCTTGAATAATTTCTAACATTTTTTATGAATACAAAATTTCAAACAATATAAGGTAGAATAATATAATGTCTTTCACATATCCATCACCCATTTTCAATAATTATCATCACCAGGTATGGTAGCTCATGCCTGCAATCCCAGCACATTGGGAAGCTGAGGTGGGAGGACTGCTTGATCCCAGGAGTTCTAAACCAGCCTGGGCAACATAGCAAGACTTCATCTCTACTAAAAAGTAAAAAAAAAAAAAAAAAGTAGATGGGCTTACTTGTCGTCTCAGCTACTTTGGAGGCTGATGTGGAAGGATAGCCTGAGTCCAGGAATTTAAGGCTTCAGTGAGCCATGATTGTACCACTGCACTCCAGCCTGGGCAGCTGAGTAAGTCCCTGACTCAAAAAATAATAATTATTATCATTATTTTATTATTCTATCTATATGGGTACCTGGTCCCCCCCCCCAACTGTTTCATTGTTTATTTTACTATTTTACAGGTTTGGGGGAGGTAAGTTCACATACTCTGAAATACACAAATCTTAGCTATATGAGCTTGAAAAATGCATACACCTGTGTAAGCCACATTCCCATGATGATATAGAATTTATCTCCCACTAAACTTCTGTATCCCTTCCCAACCTGCCAATTCCCCACACTGCTTTTCTGAAAAATTTCACCTTAGATTAGTATAATCTGGAGCGTCATATACATGGAATCATATAGTGAATACTTTTCTGTTCTGGCTTTTCTTGCTTAGCATAATGAGTAAGAGATTCATTCATATTGCTGTGTGTATTGGTGGTTTGTTCCTTTGAATTGCTGAGTATGTATTTTGTTGTTCAGAAACGCCACAATTTGTTTTCCCATTCTCCTGCTGATGTTCCTGCAGGTTATTTCCAGTTTGGGCCATTGTGAATGAAGCTGCTCTGAACATTCTCGCACAAATATTTCTGCGGACATGTATTTTTATTTTTCTTGTATAATACCCAAGGAATGCAATGCTGGGCCAAAAGTAGATGTAAATGTTTAATGTCATTAAAAAAACGACTAGGGCTTTTCCCCAAGTGGTTGCATCATTTTATACCTCTCCAGGTATGAGCACGTTGGTTGTGTCACATCCTTGCCACCATTTGGGGCTGTCCGTTTTTTCAGCTCACCTGGTGGATAAGTAATGGTAACTCACTCACTGTGTTTTTAATTTGCATTGCCCTGCCAACCAATGATACTGAGCAATTTTTCATGTTTCATTGGCCATTTGTCTTCCTTTGTGAAGTGGCTGTTGAAGTGTTTTACTCCGTTTCTTAATATTTATTGTGATCTTGATCTTTTTATGGTTGAGTTGTATGAGTTCCTTGCATACTCTGAACACAACATCTTTGTCAGATATTTTTAAAATCGTTTCTCAGCTGGGCTGGGTGGCTCAGCCTGTAATCCCAGCGCTTTGGGAGGCTGAGGTGAGTGGACTGCCTGAGCCCATAGGTTCGAGACCCGCCTGGGCAACGTGGCGAGACCTCATCTCTACAATAAATCAAAAATTAGCCGGGCGTAGTAGTGTGTGCCTGTAGTTCCAGTTCCTTGGAAGGCTGAGACAGAGGGATTGCTGGAGCCCAGCAGGTTGAGGCTGCAGTGGCCGGGAGCAGCCACTGCACTCCAGTCTGGGTGAGACTCCAACTCAAAAATAATAATAATAAAAAAAAATAATGAAATAAAACCGTTTCTCCTATTCTGTAGGTTGCTTATTCATATTTATATAATCATCCCTTTTTAAAATAAGCACGAATTTTTTTTATTATTTTATTTTAAAGATGTGGGGTACAATTCAGGGTTAGGTATACAAATGTTCACTATAAACATAAATTTTAATTTTAATGAAGTATGCACGGTACATATGTTTCCCTCTTTTTATTTTCAACCTATTTGGTGTTTGTATTTCAAGTGCTTTCTTGTAGACAACATATAGTTGGGTTTTGATTTCTAATACATTCTAACATTAACTGTCTTCTAATCAGAGTATTTAACCATTTATATTTAATGTATTTCTTGATATGCTTAGATTTAGTGTACCATTTACTATGTTTTCCTATTTGTCTCACCTTTCTTTTGTTCCATCTGTTCTTCCTTCTAGCCTTCTTTGGGTTAGCTGGGTAATTTTAGTATTCTATTTTAGTTCTTCGGCTTTTATTTGTAACTCTTGCATTTTTTTTTTAAGAGAGAAGGTGTCACTATGTTGCCCAAGTTGGTCTCAAACTCCTGGGCTCAAGCAATCCACCCACATCAGCCTCCCAAAGTGCTGGGATTTCAGGCATGAGTCACCATACCCGGCCAACTCTTGCATTTTTTTTTTCTTTTGAGTTGGAGTCTCACTCTGTCGCCCAGACTGGAGTGCAGTGGCTGCTCCCGGTCACCACAGCCTCGAGCTGCTGGGCTCCGGCGATCCTTCCACCTCAGCTTTCCAAGTAGCTGGAACTACAGGCACGTGCTACCACGTCCAGCTAATTTTTTGATTTATTGTAGAGATGAGGTCTCACCAAGTTGCCCAGGCGGGTCTCGAACCCGCGGGCTCAGGCAAACCACTTACCTCAGCCTCTCAAGACGTGGGATTTCAGGTTGAGCCACCGAGCCCGGCTAACTCTTGCATTTTTAATCAGTACTCTAGGCATTACAACATGCATCTTTAGCTTACCATAACCTACTTGAGCTCATATTGTATTGTATGTGCGTGTGTGTGTGTACAACAGTATGGCTCCATTTACCTCTCCATCTTCTGGCTGCCAAACATATTATATTGCACATTACATATTCCACAATACAGTGTTAGTTTTGTTTTGTTTTTTTAAACAGATGCATGTAAAGCAATTAAGAGAAGAAAAGAAAATAACATAGTCTTTTATATTTATCATTTTCAATGACCTCATTTTTTCTGTTACCTTCCCGTTACCCCATAGGGTCATTTCCCTCAACCTGAGCATCTTACTTCATCATTTCTTATGGTGTAAGCATAAAAATGCCTTTCAAGCTGGGCGCAGTGGTTCATGCCTATAATTCCAACACTTTGGGGGGCCAAGGTGAGAGGATTGCTTGAGCCTAGGAAGTTAAGACCAGCTTGAGCAACATAGGAAGACCTGGTCTCTAAAAATAAACAAAAATAAAAAAAATTAGCTGAGTGTGGCAGTATGAGCCTGTAGTCCTAGCTACTCAGGAAGCTGGGACAGAAGAATCACCTGAGCCCAGGAGGTCGAGGCTGTGGGGAGCTGTGATTGTGCCACTGCATTCAAGCCTGGGTGATAGAATGAGACCCTGACTCAAAAAAAAAAAAACCTTTCAGATATTTGTAGTGTTTACCTGAAAATGTCTTTATTTTACCTTCATTTTTGAAGAATGTAGTTACAGAATCTGGGTTGATAGTTTTAGTCCAGTATTTTAAAAATGTTGTGACACTGCTTTCTGGCCTCCAGTGTTTCTGATGAAAAGAAAGCCATCATTCATACCATTGTTCTTCTGTAAGTAATTCAGTTTTATCTGATTTATTTCAAGATTTTATCTTTGTTTTTTGATTTCTGTAATTTAATTATGATGCTCCTAGGTGTGGCTTCATTTTTATTTGGCCTGTGACTTTGTTGACCTTGGCTCTATAAATTGGTGTTCTTCACTATAGATGGGTAGAGTCTAGTCATCATAACTTTAAATATTTTTTTTCTGCACTATTATCTCTTCTTCTGGAACAAAAATGACAGGTATGTTAAACTATTTGATATTGTCTCATTGTTCTCTGAGGTTCTTTTTCTTCAATCTTTTCCTCCCGGTTTTTTTTAGACTGGATAATTTCTTTTTTTTTTTTCTGAGTTGGAATCTCACTCTGTCACCCAGACTGGAGTGCAGTGGTCGCTCCCGGCCACCACAGCCTCGACCTGCTGGGCTCCGGCGATCCTTCTGCCTCAGCCTTCCAAGTAGTCGGAATTATAGGAATGCGCTACCACACCCGGCTTATCTTTTGATTTATTGTAGAGATGAGGTCTCGCTGCCCAGGCAGGTCTTGAACCCGCGGGCTCAGGCAATCCACTCACCTCCACCTCCCAAAGGCACGGGATTACAAGCTGAGCCACCAAGCCCAGTTTAGACTGGATAATTTCTATTCAAATTCACTGACTTTTTTTTTCACCTGTCTCCAATCTACTTGTAGGCCCATCAGGTACACTTTAAAATTTCAGAATCTGCTTGTTTTTGCTCTAGAATTATCACTTTCTTCTTCTTTTTTTATAGTTTATGTTTCTCTCCTGAAGTTCTGTTTATTTATTACACATATTTCCCTTTAAGTTCTAAAACAAACTTTAGCTGCTTTAAAGTACCTGCCTGCGAATCGCAACATCTGAGTTATCTTGGGGTCAGTTTCTGTTGACTGCTTTTTTCCTTGAATATGAAAATACTTTTCCTGTTTCATTACATGATTGTGTACTAGATATTATTAATGATACATTATACTTTAGATTCTATTGTGATCCTATAAAAAATAATTTTTTTCAGGCAGGCATTTAACTTGACTAGACTCAGACTCAAAAATCCTCCCCCCTGACAGTGTGCAGTTATTCTTTCATCTTCTAGCTGATGTTTTTGTGCCAGGTCAACTGGGCTCTCCTCCACATATGCAGAGTTTAGCTGTCAGACAAAGATTTAGGTAGATTTTGTATGTATATTTTGTGCCTCAATTCTGCTGTAGCTCCCCGCCAGGATTTCCTCCCAAATATTCTGACTGCTCTATCAGCCCGAAAATCTGTCCTCTGACTTCTCAAACCAATAATGCTGCACTCTCAAGCTAGTAATATCCCAAGCCAAAAGCAGATTAGGGAATACCCTTAGGTAAAAGGTTGAAAATTTACAAATATTGCCCACCACAGTTGTCTTTCAAGAGTAAATGTTTCTATCCTAGGGAGCTCACAGAGCTCACGTGTGCTGACATGAAAATATCCCAAGACATAGTGCTAAGTAAAAATAAGTTGTAAAATAATGTGAATGCATGTCCCCACCTATATTTTTAAAAAGCTACTGTAAAATCACATGAATATAAGTAAACTCACATAAGAAGGTATGGGAACCATTGCCTATGGCTATTTCTGGGGAAGGAATTACCATGGAGTGAAAAGATGTGCTTATATATCTGCATGTGCACTAATATATGCAAACTACACATTTTTCACTCCATGAATTTTTTTTTTTTAAGTTGGAGTCTTACTCCATTGCCCAGGCTATAGTGCACTGTCATGATCACAGCTCAACACAGCCTCAGTCTCCTGGACTTGGGTGACCTTCCTGTTCCAGCTTTCTGAGTAGCCGACACCACAAACACACACTGCCATGCCAGGCTCACTTTTCTATTTTTTGTAGAGACAAGGTCTTGCTAAGTTGCCCCAGCTGGTCTCGAACTCCTGGGCTCAAGCAATCCTCCTGGCCTCCCAAAATGCTAGGATTATAGGCATGAAACATTACACCCAGTCTCATGAATTTCTATATTTGAATTTTTACAAGAATTTATATGGACTTAAATGTAAAGACTGATTTTTAAAAACTGGTCTCTTGATGGTTTGATTGCTTTCATTATCTCTCTGAGGAACCACTTTTTTCTGGCTGGAGTGCAGTGGCACAATCATAGCTCACTGTATCCTCAAACTCCTGGGCTCAGGCCATCTTCCTACCTCAGCCTCCCAAGGAGCTAGGACTACAGGCACACACCACCAAGCCCAGCTAATTTCTTTAATTTTTTTTAGACACAGGGTCTTGCTGTGTTGTCCAGCTGATCCTCCTGCCTTGGCCTTTCAAAGTGCTGGTTACAGGAATGAGCCACCACTCCTGGCCTACAAGAACTACTCTTAAGCTTTGGATTACAGGGATAAATATATATATATATAGAAAGTGCCAAGAACAGTGCCTGACACACAGTAGGCATTCAATAACAATGAGCCACACTACAGTTGTTTAAGTCATTATATGGAAACGATACCTCTTTCATTGGGTTCAGCAGCAGAGAACATGGCCATGAAGCCATTCCCAGCTGTGTTGGCATCGGAAATCATCTGCACCATCATCTTGTTGCCACTGGACACAAGGGCTCCAGGCCGGAATGTGCCACAGAAGCGCCCGATGCGCTGGCCATTGGCGTGGCCATTGTACACATCCACAAAGTCATAGCGGCACAGGTTGTCGCTCTCAAGGTCTATGAATCGGAAATTAAGAACGACTACTTTTCCTTCAGGAACCTGCCAAGAAAACAGTCGGTTAGAAAACTGTGTCATGAAATCAATGTCTGAGGCCTTCACAGCTGGCCAGTTACTAAAATGAACAGACAAAAGTGTAATATCCAAGACGATGATGATTTTTCCTTTCTCTAAACTAAGCCAAGGAATGTCTTCTAGCATACTTCATTTCTAATAAAGTATAAGCATTTATTCTCTTTGGACAAATTCCACAATTCTCTAGGGTACACAATCTTATTCCTTCAGAATTTATGCTAACAAAGATGTAAAATATTAGATCCGTTTTATTAATTTATGTCATTGTTTATAAAGAATACCAGTCCTGATTGAACCATAGCACATATTTGCATATTCTAAGACACTGGGTGCCAAGATATTGTTTGGCAAGGAAACATTTCTAATTATCATTTCTTACAAATAATACAATAGGGCACTCTCGACACCTGTATACAGAATGTTTCTGTGAAGCTAAAAATGAAGGGTTTATTTGGCAATTGTGCAGTTAGGTCATTTACAGATAATTCACTTTGGGTCCTGAAAAATCCAGATCAACAATCGATACTGGTTAAGTTAACTGAGTAACTGTTGAATAATCTTCCTAAGGTCATTGAGTTTTTTGTTTGTCTTCCAGGTGGAGACTTTATATACCAGGCAGACTTGAAATACAATGTACTAATGATGAAAAAGATAAGTTCTCACATTTTCATAATATTTTCCTCTATAGAATTCTTATTATGTTTCCTCCCTTCTTCCCTGAATACATAGAAAAAATAGCCACAAAAGCATTTGGTAAGATTCTCGGGTTACCAAAGCCCCATTTCTTTATCAGTGCACACCACCATCTTTGAATTTCTTGAATCATTCAAGTTGCTCAGTCATAAAGTCTTGATCATATTTGTTTAGCCCTTTTCACCAGATGAAGTCTCCACTGAATAGTGTAAAAATTTCATTCTGTAAAAGTTTACATATGACAAAAGTCAGTGGTTACAAAAACACACACACAACCAAAACTGGTTAGTTTGTATTCACCTTAACAATTTCAGACTTAAGGATCAACAGAAGCTTTAACATTAATATAGCTTCCCCATGTTTGTTAGTTCAACGCTATGAATTTCTTTTCCTGAGATAAGATGAAGTGTTTTCAGTGATATTTGCTTTTAGTGCCAACCACTCACACACACCCCACAGCAGAAACTGCAATGGAGTTGTCCCAAAGGGGAGGGAGACATTTTTGCTTTGCCATGATTGCATTCTAATTGCTAGAAGCTAATCTGAATGGTGTGACTATCAGAAGCTCCAAAACCACAGCAGAAAGAGAAAACTTTTGAACATCACTGAGATCTTTGTTGTAGAACTACCCTGTTTTTGCTTTTTGTTTTCGTTTTTTCACACAACCTATATTGGGCCTATGGCCAGAAAATTGTCAAACTATGATGCCACATCCGCAAATCTTAAATATACCCAAATTCTCTAGGAATCACTAAAAATTCCTGGCCATGAGAAAAGTTTCAAACTAAATTAATTGAATTTGTTTTGTTCTTGAATGAATAACGACTGTTATTTAAATTCGAAGCTATGAAACCCGGTGGAATCACCCACAGAGTGAACGTTGAAAAAAAAGAGAAGAAGTCTGAGGATAAAGTCCAGGAACACTCCGCTGTCACCGGATCTGTGTGCTGAGGTCAAACCACGAAAGAGACTGAGTCAATGAGTAGGAGGCAACCAGAAGTGAGAAGGACCCAAAAGCTGAGTGAAGGCAGTGTGTTGAGGCGCAAGGAAAAAGAAAATTAAAATAAAAAAAGGAAACCTACTTGATCAAGGTGTTGAAAAAAAATTTTTTCTTTTTTTTTGAGTTGGAGTCTCACCCTGTCGCCCAGACTGGAGTGCGCGACCTGCCGGGTTCCACCTACCTGTCGGCGATCCTTCCACCTCAGCCTTCCGAGTAGCCGGAATTACAGGCACGTGCTACCATGCCTGGCTGATTTTTTGATTTGTTGTAGAGATGAGGTCTCGCCAAGTTGCCCAGGCGGGTCTCGAACCCGCAGGCTCAGGCAATCCACTCACCTCGGCCTCCCAAGGCGCGGGATTACAGGCTGGGCCACTGAGCCCGGCTGAAAAAAAAATTTTTTTAAGAGAAGGAATGAATGGCCAACTGAAGTAAATGCTGCTGCTACATTGCGGAAGATTAAAACTAAGAAAGACCATTGGATGAGAAACACAGAGATTTAGCAGCCAGAGGACATCAGGAACTCTGACAAAGCTCTTCTGGTTGCACAACAGGACAAACTCCGATAAGAGAAAGATCACAAGAAAATGGGGTGAGAGGAATTGGTGATAATAAAGAGACAAGTCTTCCAAGGAATTGTGCTGTAAATATCAACAGATATGAGGGTAGTGTGGAGTCAAAGCAGGGTTTGTTGTTGTTTTTTGTTTTTTACAATGGGCTAGACTAAGGCATACTTGCATGCTGAAGGGAATGATTCTGCAGAGACAGCTAAACTGATGAAGCAAAGGAGAGAAAGAATTGCTGAAGAAATGTTCTTGAGAAGACAAGGAGGGATCTGATCCAGCCAAGGCGATGATGGCTCACACCTATAATCCCAGCACTTTGGAAGACCGAGCTGGGAGAATTGCTTGAACTCAGAAGTTCAAGACCGACCTGGGCAACATGGCAAGACCTCATCTCTACAAAAAATTAGCCAGGCATGGTGGTGCGTGCCTGCAGTCCCAGCAACTAGGGAGGCTGAGGTGGAAGAATCACCTGAGCCCAGGAGATGGAGGCTGTGGTGAGCCGTGAACGTGCCACTGCACTCCAGCCTGGGCAACAGAGTGAGATCCTGACTCAAAATAAATAAAGAGGGATCTGAACTAAGGGACAGATAGAGGAGATGGCCTCTGTAGGAGCAAGGACCGGTCTGCCCAGTGAAAGGAGAGAGGGCAGATGCTGAGGGGAGTAGATGAGTTGATGAGAGCATATGTGTTGCTTTTTTTTTTCCCCCTGATTGCTGTTCTTTTCTTAGTGAAATAGAAAGCAAAGTCATCAGCAGCAAGTGTGGAAGGTAGAGAAGCTGTTGGGAGTTTGAGGACAGAGAAGAAGACGTGTAAATGGATTCAGGAAAGTGAGCAGGAGTGCCGAGGGCCCACTTGAAGTAAGTGAATGAACACTGAGATCTCACTGCATGATGGTGGCATTTGTTTGCGTTTGCCCCCAGCTATATCGGCAGAGGTACAGGGCAGAGGTACAGGGCAGGTGGAGAGTTGGATTCAAGTAGTCAGGGAGTAGGCTGGGACTTGCCAAGTGAGGACTATGGAAGGAGAGAGGGTCAAGAGAGATGAGGACACAGGCAAGGCAGGGACCATCATGACGCCCCATGAAATCCAAACAGAGGAAAGAGGGCCATCAGGACTTGGTGGAGTAAGAACAGTGACAACCAGACTGGTGGCGGCAGGGATAAAATAACAGCAGAGGGGGAGGCTGAGGAATGGTGGAGGATAAAGCCATGGAGGAGACACAATTCAAAACCCAAGAGAATCATCCACACAGATATGGAAACTGCAGTGAATTTTGACCAGGAAGCGTGCTGAAGACAGCAACAGGAGGCCAGGAGTAAAAATCTTCAAGAACTGAGGAAGTCTGTCCTAGGGTCTTTTTGCAACAAGAGAAGTAGAGGGACAGCACAGCCTTGTTTCATTGCTAAGTTGTCAGGTCTCAGTTCTTTGATGCTACTTAGAAGGTTCTGTTGACTCTTTTCTGTAGCAGGGAGTTGAAACAGACTACATGCCACGGATGCTCATTCCCAAAGGAATAAACCATTTGTTCCCCAAAGTTCTTCCTGCTCCCATTGCAGTGAAATGTCAAAATTTCTCTGAGAATGGGACACAAATATGTTCAGCAATAGAAACTGGGTAATATCACTGCAATTCAGAACACATGCTGATCCTGATAACCCTGGCAACAGTTCTTTGGAGCCAGGGATGCAGAGGTGATCTATACCAGTGTAAGTCTCCTATAACTAGAGACAAATGTCACCTTGCACTGAAGGCCAAAGAGAAATTCTATTGCAAATGAGATGCGTGTGGTTGTGAGCCTTTTCAATATGTATAACACAACATCTGTTCTTCATTTTTTATATGAGCGATCAAGATTGTCTGATGCCCCCAGATGCAAATTTTGATAAGAGCTCCTGATTTTCATTCTAAAGGATTTTAGCAGGAAACCACAGTCCCTGAAGATGACCTTTCCACTTGAAGAACCTACAGTCTGTATTCTTTGTTGAGGGTATTTTTTAAAAATACAGAAAGATACATAGACTAATATAACAAACACCTGGTTATCAACCATCCAGACTTTTGTTAGCATTTTGACAAGACATTTTTTTTTTTTTACTTGGGGGTCTCACTCTGTCACCCAGGCTGGAGTGCAGTGGCATTGGATCATGGCTATTGCAGCCTTGACCTCCTGAGCTCAGGCGATCTTTCCACTTCAGCCTCTTGAGCAGCTGGGACTACAGGTGCGTGCTGCCACGCCCAGCTAATTTTTCAATTTTTTGTAGAAACAAGGTCTCACTAAGCTGGTCTCAAATTTCTGGACTGAAGCAATCCACCCACCTTGGCCTTCCAAAGTGCTGGGAGGATTGAGCCACCATGCCTAGTCATCAATACGTTTTTAAAGTTTCCTTTAATAAAAAAATAGAACATTTCAGATAAAAATGAGGTATCCTATGTCCCCATCCCAGGCCCCATTCCCCCCTCCTTCCTCAAAAGCAACCACTGATACAAATTTAGTAGGTTTCCTTTCATGTTGTTGCAAATACTGGGGGTGCCAAAAACACATATACACATTTTAGAAGACGTTATCTATATATTACTTTTCAAAGTTGAATTGAATTACAGTAGCAATGTGTAGTATGACGTTTGCTCAAAAAATGGTGTTAATCAAATGAATGCTAGAGTCACCATGCGACAGGCAGGACAGTCAAAGAAAATGGCAGAAGCATAGTGTC